GCAAAGCAAAGCAAAGCAAAGCAAAGCAAAGCAAAGCAAAGCAAAGCAAAGCAAAGCAAAGCAAACAGAATAAAAAAAAATTATTGGCCAAATGTCATTGGACACACAAGAAATTTGTCTCTGGTACATAAGCTCTCAGTGTACATACAAGCAACAAATCATGATCATAATCATCATAAAATACATTCATCTTAAATCCATAAGATACAGTACTGAGTGACAGTCATAGGATACTAAATAAGCAATCGACATAAATTATACTAGGATAATAAATAAAACAATTAATATAAATTGGAAGATACAAGCAACAAAGTTATAGTCATAAGAAGATAAGGAAACAGATAATAGGAAAGATGAGAAGGATAATAGTAATACAGCCCTACTAGGTAGTTTGACAGTGTTGTGGGAATTAGTTATGTTGCAGAGTGATGGCACAGGAGAAATAACTGTCCTTGTGTCTAATTGTTTTGGCATGCAATGCCCTATAGCATCATCTTGAGGGAAGGAGTTGAAACAGTTTATGTCCAGGATGTGAGGGGTCTGTAAATATTTTCACAGCCCTCTTTTTGGCTCGTGCAGTATACAGTGGAAGGCAGGCTGATGGAAGGCAGGCTGATACAAACTGCTTGACTATATCTTTCCAGAAATTTGATCCTCTCCCCAGTTGCACTGTAAGCCCAATCGAATGCTACAATGTATAAATATAAAGAATATGTCCTACATTTGTATATTAAACAGTCTCATTCAAGTAAAAAAATTATTTCTCCCACAACTGAAAAACCAGTAGGCCATGGATGGGGAACCTTTTATGGCTCACTCAGGAATTCTGGGAGTTGAAGTCCATAAGTGATAAAAGAGCCAAGTTTCCCTACCCCTGGTTTAGGCGAAGCAGGATCCAGATGCAGAATCCAAAGTCATCCATGATTTGCTGGGAAGGGATAGCAGAGATCTAAATGAGTTTGGACCTGATACTGAATAAACAGCTGCACCAGTTTCTTCTGATTGTATCAGGTCTGGGCCCAAACTTAGCAAAATCGAGACAAGTTAACTTGAGACCCAGAAAGATAAAAACGGTCAGCAGCCTTTTCTGTTCAGCATCTCCGAGGGCTCAGCCTTCGTTTTCCAAAAGCCATTTAAAAAGGGGGGGGAAGCTTCCTCACTCCCACCCCATTTTCAAGCAACTGTTGTTCTCCCTAGGAAATGGTCCTCTTTCCCCATTGCTGCAACAGCCCAACATGTGTGTGTGTGTGTCTCATACTCAATTGTTACAGGGGACCCCCCCCCCTCAAACGTCCTAAAGCAGGTGAACTGCTGACAATTGGTTCTCTCCCTTTCGGTGGGTAACTCCAGGTAGCTTGGAACAGCCTAGTAACGGACTGGCACCGGCCACTTTTCACGGTGCGAGTGTAAATAATCCTATTAAATATCTCTTCTTGGTCCTGCAGCTAAAGCTTCGCCTGCTTTAGGCAGGCTTAGAAAGTCTTGCCAGTGCCGTTCTTCGCTTGGCAATGCTTGAGGAGAATTAGGGGCTAGGAGACAGTTGATATTCTCATCTCTCTGCTACAGGTGAGGCTGTCAGAAAGACTTTTTGGCAGGCACGCAACGCCTTCCCCTCAGCCTCTCCGGCACACGAATGAGAGACGCGGCTGTACTGCCCAGGGGAGGCGAAGTCTCTCGGTTTTTTTTTTGTTTTGTTTTTTTGGTACACACCACCCGCTGCTGGCGGATGCGCACATATGGGTGGCGCGGCAGGGCAGGTCCATCCTGGGCACGGAAGTTCTGCCGCTAGCCCAGCAGCCCTGCCCGAGGTTTATTTTATTTTATTTCTGGGGAGGGCTACCGAAATGGGAAGCGCGCCTCTGCCTTGGGGGGGACGGGGGGGGGACGGACGGACTTGGGGGGAGATTCTCCGCCCCGCCAAAACCAACGGTTCGAAAGCCGCTTCTCTCTCACCCCCCCCACCTCTCACCCCCCCACCCCCACTCCTCCTCCGCCTTCCCCAAACACCTCCCTCCCCCTCCCCCCTTTTGCAAACGTGGCGTGCCGTTTGGGCGGGAAATGCCTGGAACGCAATAAAGCCCACCCACTCACCTCCCGCTGGCAGGCTGGCTGATGGGGTGAGGGGGAGAGGCGGAGAAGCCGGAGGGGAGCCGAGCGGATAGCAGCCTTCCGAAAGAAGTGTGGCGGGGGGCGCTGAGGGAAAGTGCATGTGCTACGGCATGCTGCGGACGCCCATCGCTCGCTCCTTTGCCTGGCTTCCCTCCTCCCGCCGTCTCCTGGGCGCTCGCTCGCTCCCTCGCTCGCTCTCCCTCTCTCCAGTCCTAGCTTGACGCAGGCGGCAGCTCGCGATCGCCCTTTGCTAGCCCGCCCGTCGGTGAAGCTGGGCGCCGGTGGGGCGCCGCCGAACCAGGATGGTGGGGCTTCGCCTTTCCTCCGCGTAGCTCTGCCGAAGCGAAGCGAGGCGAGGCGGCGGCGGATTCTTTGCCAAGCCGGGCTGGAGGCGTGCACTGAAGGGCGAACGGGATCTGCTGGCGGCGGCGGCGGCGGCAGCAGCAACAGCAGGTCGCTCGGAGCAGCGATTGGCAAAGTTGGCTTGAAGTGGGACAAGCGGCAGGCGGCGGCGGCGGCGGCTACTCGGCGGGGCGGGGGACAAAGTTGCGACGAGAGGAGCGGGGGGCGCAGGCAGGAGCCCCAGGGAGGAGGAGGAGGAGGAGGAGGAGGTGGTGGTGGTGGAGGAGGAAGAGGTGGAGGTTGAGGATGGGGACGCTGCGGGATTTACAATATGCCTTGCAAGAAAAGATCGAGGAGCTCCGGCAGCGAGATGCGCTCATCGACGAGCTGGAACTGGAGCTGGATCAGAAGGACGAGCTGATCCAGAAGCTGCAGAACGAGCTGGACAAGTACCGCTCCGTGATCCGGCCCGCCACCCAACAGGCGCATCAGCAAAGCTCCGGCACCTTGCAGGGCGAGCAGAGGACCAAGAGGCAGGCCATTTCCGCCGAGCCCACGGCTTTTGACATCCAGGACCTCAGCCATGTCACCCTGCCTTTCTACCCCAAGAGCCCACAGTAAGCCGTTGTGTCCGTGTGGCGTTCCCTGTGGTGTGGTCGATCTCGCGCTCTTCCCCTTGTCTCTGTCTCTGTCGCCCGTGCTCTCCCTCCACTCCGCCCTGGGGATCCGCCGCCTGCTTTCCCATCGCTTCTCATCTTCAGAAATCGCTTCTCCCTTCCCGACGCCCCACTCTTGCCTCTTTTTCCCCCCACCCCGCCTCTCCTAAGCCCTAAACTCTTGGCATCTGATGGGCTGCCACCTTTCCAAAGCCACATCCAGCCTTCAGCATTTCTCTGTGCTCTTGTCAGGTATCGAGGTACCTCGGTGCCCCCTTCCTGGGGGAGGAATTTTCCCCCCCCCAGAGTGTGAAAATGCTGTGTCTGTTCCCCTCTTCCCAAATTATCACAACAGCATCGTCAGACTGGCTCTCTACCAGCGTGGTATGTGTTTCTGTCTGGGTTTTCTTTTTCTTTTCTTTGGGGTGGTTTCGGTTATGGCTTCTTGACCTGGCGGTTTGGAGGTAGGAACTGAATTCCCTAACCTGAAGATTTTGGGGTGGGTGTGGATGGAGGGGCTTGGGGGGGTTTCCATTCGCTCCATCTGGGAGCTATTTATTTATTTAAGGGCAGCCAAAGAGCCTGGCATCATCTTAAAGACCATCAGGTTTGTTCCTTAAGAGTATAAGAGACAGGTAGGTTTTAAGGTGCATCAAAACTCTTTGCTATCTTTGGTACAAAAAGACTAACCCAACTAATACCCTGGAAAATGTTGGCTGAAGCAAAAGGCAATGTTTTTGCTAACATGCTAGCCGGTGAGGCTTATTTCCTCTTTCCTCTCGGCATGGAGAGGCAAAATTCTGTAGAGGAATTTCTGATTTTTTTAATGGCCTTTTAAAAAGTGATCTGACACCTTTCTGGGCTGTTTCCGAGCAGTGCAACTGCTACATATCCAGGGGACAAGGTGAGAGAAAGAGCTGCCACCAAACTATGGTTAAGTAGGGTTAAACAGAAAGCAGATGTAAAAATGTCGCTATCTGTTTTCCCTCTATCATTTGCTCCTTTCATTTTCAAATGAGAGTAGAACATAAAAGGCTTGTATACAGCCCGTTTTCTTTCAGCACTTTGTTTCTTCCTGCACCTGAAAATAACTGAAGTTTCTCTTTCCATTTCTGAGAAGAGTTTATTTTGGCTTTAATCTCTCTCACCTTTTGAGTGGTGGCATTTTTTTTCTCCTTTTCTGTTTGGGAAAAAAAGGCTTTTTGAATCACTTTATTCTTTCATCCTAAGCTTTGTCTGCTATTCCTTACTGGTCGCTTTGAGTGGGGCAGTGGTGGGCTGCAAAGAAAGACCAGAAACACCTGAGATCATGGCTTTCTGAGATCGTGGCTTACGTTACTCAAAAGAAAGAAGTCAGATCTCTTTTGGCCTCATTCTCCTTCTAATCCTAGCTGTGGAGAGAGGCTGGTTGCAAGGATTTGATAATGAGGGGAAGACATGCTACACACACTTTGCATTTCTCTATCACTATATCACGTGTACCACTTCAGCCCCACCATTCCAAGTGTGCAACCTGCCTATGCAGCAGCCTGAGCATGTCGAATGAGAATATGGGTTTCCTCTGTGGTCCTCAAAAGAAACCTTGGATTCCTGCTGCCAATTTTGGCATTCCCTGCTCATAATTTATGCTGTTCCTCAGGCATAGCATTGCCAGTGCAGGATTTCCTTTTGATCCCTCTCCTTTCCCCATTCTACTGTTTCCTCAAATTTTTATTGAGCTTTTTCAGAGACACTTCGGAGTTCATCAGGCCCAATTGGTGTTGTGAAGCTGACAGGGTTTTTGCAAGAGGAGGGCAGTCAGGGTGGGGGAAGGTGCCTGGTGCTTGCTCTTTCTTAAAATCTCACCATCTGATGTGACACAGTGTGGTTATCTTTACCTTAAAATATTGGGAGTAGTATCTTTGCAGTGATAGTCATTTATTTGATAGTTCATTTAATTGTCTTGAAAAGATACACATTTATGCAGAGGCATAAAATCTTACAGTGAATTCCCGCCAAACTGAACAAGATCTGCTCCGAATGTTTTGGAGTTCTCTAAACATACTGTACAGAATCATACTAGATCTCTTCCTTACATATCATGCATATTAATATATAATAATTACATGCTAACATACTTAACAACACGAGGTGTTTCTTATTCCTTATTCATCGATTTGAGGTTCTCAGAGTTACCAAGCATTTGCTTATTTTGAGAAAAAAGTTTGATCTAACATACCAAGTCGTGTATTTCAGTGCAATGGGTGCCTTTATTCATAAAGGTGAATAGATACCATCTTATGTTCAATACTATCCATCATTATTAGCTAAATGAATCCACATCTAAACAGTAATAGTTATGTCTCTACTGTTGATGACTGATAAAGGATAAAATGTTATCCTAGATGGAAATCTAAACTGTAAGACTAGGACTTACAAGTTGGTAAAGTGATATTGAAACTTATTCTATCGTGCATTTATATCGTGTTTAATGAGTTTATTTAAATACCTGGCTGGCCACCACTGAAATAGAATGGCTGATTAAAGTAGACTTAGGAGCGAGTCCAGCAGGAATCTTTACGCTTAACTTGTACAGTTGTAACAGTTTCATATTGAACCATTGAAAAATATGCCAAGCTCACATATGCGGCTCAAGCTCTTGGTGTTAAAAATGTTTTACACAGGCTTAAGTTTGATTCATAAATCTAAAATTGAGCTCAGTTTTTGGCAATGATAAGGGCATTTGTAACATGTTGGCGCTGACTGCTAGGAAAGTCAATTGCCAACCCATTCCATCTTTGCTGTATTGTTTGCTGTTCAGCAAACTACTTGAATAATTTCTTTCGTTCAGTGCAAGTAATGCCAATCTGGGTACGTAGTGGGGCTATCAAACAATTGCTGTGCCACCTGGATAGCTGGCAGAGACATTGGTTTAAATTCAGCACGTTGAATGGTTTAGGCTCTGAGTCTGGAGTATACGATGAGGACAAAACCAAGGTAACATTGTCAGAGAGGCTGAGAGAAACATTTCATATCATTTACCAAGATGCAGATTAAATCACTGAATTGTAAAGGTTCACACAGTTAATAAAAACAAAGATTTTTTCTCACTTCGGTGTTATGTTCCACTAAAAGTACAGAAGAACTAACATTCTGTTAGAACAAATGCCCCAATTTACATTCCATTCTGCTGAGACATGAAGTACTGTGAGATTACAACACTGTACATGCTTCATAATTGTAGCCAGGAATAACCAGGGCAAAAATCCCCAGGGAATGGAGAACAGATTTGTTCTCTTTCCCATCTCCTAAATGTCCTTAATATACATTTTTTTAATGTATGACTAATGTCACAATTTTCCTTCGCTCAAATGTTTGATAAAATATTACTGGGGCTTTCCTGTGTCCTGTTGTGTTTCTGGTTTCTCTCAACTCCTTTTTCTACAATAGTCATGACATTTAGATAGGATGCTCTGGCATTTGTTCTGAGGACTATAGAAAAAGAGGTCTATTATGCTGGATGGATAGTTCTCATTTGGGCGCAAGTTCCTTCTTCTGTGCCAAAATCCGATTCAAAATATTATAAGTAGGGAAGTTTTATTCAGGGCAGCTTTTTCTGTTCTACTCTGAACCTGTCTGTAAGATTTACAAATGTCTTGGGAGTGAAACTCTTGAGGTTTTTTTTTTAATTGGTAGTTGTACAATATCACATGTAGTAAAAAAAGAAAAAAGGTAAAGGAGTCCCTGTAGATTTTATTCTGCTAGTCATTGCCGATTATAGTGTTCATTTCCATTTTAAGGCCATTGAGCCAGCACTGCCCAATGACATCGGACAGTGCAGTCATGTGGTCAGCATGACATGCGGTCATGTGGTCAGCATGACATCACGGAGCACTGTTACCTTCCCACTGAGGTGGTACCTATTTATCTACTCTCATTTGCATGCTTTCGAACTGTTAGGTTGACAAGAGATGGGGCAAGAACAAGAGCTTGCCCTGTTGCAAATGGGTCTCGAACCTGGACTGTTGGCTTTCCAGCCAACAAGGCCAGTGTCTAAACCGCTGAGCCACTGTGCTGTCCATCATATTTAGTAGGATGACTAAATAGGATGTCTGGAAACTTCTTTTCACTCTCAAGCCATGATCATTCTCATGACCGGCCTTTTAACTGGTGTTCACATGGCTGGAACGTAGAACATCTTTATGCAAAACTTTACAGTTTCTGGAAGACAGTGGCTATTTTTTATTTCATGAACTTCCTCGGTATTTTAATATATTAAATTTGTATTTGGAGAAGGGAAGATGTTGTAAGCTGCATCTTCTACCATGTTTGACGGTGCTGTGGAATCCTGCTGAATTTATGGATTGCTTTAGCATAGTAGTGGATCAAGTCATATAATGTAAGGAAGAGTAAAGAGACTGTAACGATATGTTTAGAAAGTGGGCAGAGAAAGAATGAGAAAGGGAGATAATGTAGGCAGCAGCATATCATGGTGTAGCAGATAATGGGAACAGGGTGAATCAGTAGGAACCCAGAGTAATGTTATCTAAAAAAAATTGGAATTAGAAGAAAATTCAAGTGAGTACTAATATGACACTCAGTTTGACTCAAGTCCATTTTTTTTGTTTTCTTCAAAGATGTGCCTTGGCTTCCTGATCTCTCTCCCCTTTCTGGCTTGAATGCTTCAGAGGAAAGGGAGTGGGAAAAGCAGACCCCTGCTTCAAAATCTTTTTCCATTGGTCTACTGGTTTGCCTTTTTGAAAAGGACATATTGGAAGGATTGTTGTAATATATCTTGCTTTGGAGCTTTTTAAATAAATTTTATTTAAAAAAAATGCCTGTTGTCTGAAGTGTTCCATGGGGAAACTTAAACCTCTAAAGGAGACACACAGCATTTTTCACAAGGTGCTAATTTCCTTTTATGTCTGTCTTAGAAACTGACATGGATTTGATATGGTAATGATGAAGAAGCAAGCATACTT